GGGTATACACAAGTACGTAATTGAATTGAAGTTTCAGGATGTACGTTCTTTCAATCGAAGTTTCATGCCATTTTATAACAAACTGTTTGTACCTTGAAAGCACGACAACGCATTCGCTTGTCGTGTGCGAATGCCGGTGAGAGTGATGGAGTTTTTTGCAACACCATACTCGCATTTCTAGAGGGTAGGTAATATGCTCGTTCTTTTGGCAGCCGCATTTCATGCCGTTCAACATCGAATGAAATCAATCTTTGTTATGAACAGATGACTTGGTGAACTCGGTCGAGATTGGTCAAGTAATTGAAGTGGTGGGATTGGTCGGTCGACATTTTCCTGGGTTAGGAGGTAGGTGGATCTTAGTTGCCTGAGGTGAATTGCATTTCGCGTTGCCGCAATTTAAGAATTAAGAATCGTGGATTTTGCATTCAGATTCGGGATATTGCAGTAAATTGTGGCACGACAACGGTTTACACATTGAGGAAAGTAATTATACAAGCAACTGTGACTAAGGGTGTTGTTGATAACTCCTTTTCTTGTCAATTCCTTAGATTAATAATGTCAAAGACGTAGCAATGGTGATTCTCCCTATTACGTTGCTTTTGCATCATCCCGCTTCTCATCCACCTTACGTTTTCCCCATGTCCAGACGAATCAGTCCGGTAATGAATTGCAGCTCTTTGACCTCCCGGAATATATAATACATCTTCGAAAAGGTAGAGAAGACACACTGTACTTGGTGTTTATAACCTCGAGGTCACTAATAATGTGCCATCGCAATGCAACGATAGCAAATTTGTCGGCTTGGGCGTTCACGCAACGGATCGTGGACGTGTTTTTTGGTATGAGGATAATTTGATGACTCCGATTCGGCAATTAGACCGCCCGCACTAATTAAACCCTCCCCCTGAACATCCCTCCTTGCAAAGATGATATCGCGCCGCAATATGTATACAGAAAAATCAAGTTCTTCCTCTTACTAAGGTTCGTGTAAACCTCAAGTTACTTCCTGTAATTTCGACTATTCGAATCTCCAAAATTTATTTTGCGCAGTCTTGTCGCGTTGTCCGAAAACAAACCACTGAAGAAACGTGAAATCTCGTCGAGCATTCACGTCATGATTTTGTGCGGTGGCTACAACTCTATCATCCCTAGAATGATGCGCCGCATCTCCGAATTGAAAAGGTGAAATACTTTAAATGGTTGTACACTCTTCTTATTTGTCAATGGTTGATATCCTTCATATACCATCGATATTCAGACACGAGGAGTGGACGCACGGCCTTGGTCAAAAGAAGCAACCACTTTTCACCGTTCAAGACAGACAGTCCACCAAGGAAACGTTCATTGAATGTAACACGGATTCGTTTGTTCGCCGACAGCTTCTTTTTTCCTCCACTTCTATTTGACATACGTTTTTTATTCCTCCAGCAACAATTCTTGCAGGATCAAGAGATGGAATTCTCCTGGTGGACTTGGACTCACTGAGCAAAAGACATGTAGAGTCATTGCGAATGGGTAGGTGGAGAAAGATGTCTCATAATAGTTACGATTTGCATTTCTAATTATCTTGACCTCCGTCCCGTCCATCGTCCATCGCGTTAACGTTTCCAGTAATGAGCAAAAGTTTAGACCTGTCATTGAAAAATCAACATCACACGTTGAACATTGACATGAACACCTGTTGTTGGGGATGGTCTGTTGCAAAGCCTTCTACCGGGAGGAGAGGCGGCAATGCCAATAGACAAGGATCGCGAGAAGAAGGAATCTACGTAGGTTAACTTGGAAACGTTTCCATTTTGCCGTCATTTCGCTGCACCACTGTTTAACACTTCAAAACCTGGTCATAATTAGTCCATTTGCGGCGACTCCATTAGGCCGTTAATAGAGTAAGATAGATACAATGCTCAATTGAGAACTTCTTTATCCTAATTTGATTTTGAAATTTAGCACGTTCGATCTTGTGGTGCACTTAGAAGAAGTGATCAATTCTGAAGCCAACGACCTATTGTTGAATCATTTGCTCGATAAAGCCGTGTCGGAGAAACAGAATGATCGTGTGTCGAAATATGGAATGTCGTTTAATGACTTGAAAAAGGTAATATACAGTATACTGTATATATGCACAAGAGTTCTAATCAGGGTGATTATGCTGAAGAAAGAAGAACAAGTGTTAAATACCCACTTATTACTTTCCCATATATTACAAAGTATATTTCCGTGGCGAGCGACATCGAAGTGAAGTAAGTAAGGTTTGATTTCATGATTCGTTAATCGTTTCACAGATTCGACGCGCGCTCAATTTTTTTTTTTTTCTATTGCAAGGTTGTCGACGGAGTGCAAGGATTTACTTCGCAAATACTTTCTGATAACTCGCAAGCTCAAAGGAGCTAGTCAAGGATTTGCTTCTTCGACTGCTTTGCTCGAGGTATTTACAAGGGTCACATTCTATCCTATTACACCGAAAGGTATTGCACGTACTCTTGGGAATAATGAATATTTCTTTCCTCCTAGACTTTGCTGCGCTTGGCAAGCTGTCATTCCAAGGTAGGAAAATAGTTATTTATTTCCTTTCTTTCCTAACGAATATCATATTCTCGGGAAATAATCAAGCGTATTGCAAAAATATAAAGTTGTGCCTTCGTAATGTGGGAAGCGTAGACGATGCATTGGTTAGTATATTGATCGTCGAAGAAACCTTGGTGTCAAAATACGGATCTTCGGCTTCGGTTTTAGGTTTTGTTTCACTTCCCGATGATCAGGAGAATTTACACAAGCTATATGCTAGTCAAAATTCGGACTTTGAAGAACCAATGGTTTCCAACACCGATTCATTGTATGATGATTACGAGTTCTTATCTCACCTTCGGAGCATGTCAAGAATAGATGAGGAAGAGATGACGAACATGTATCAGCATTTGATGCGTGTGTTAAGGTCATTTGGCGGTGGAAATGGTGCCAGCGATGTCATCGATTATGTTAATGAACATTACGAAGGAGATTATGATGAAATATGAATTTCTTATTTCGTGGGGACCGAAGCGTTCATTATTTCGCCGCATGCAATTGAATTGTCTTGGGGATTTACCTAGTATAGTATCGATCAGATTCCGGAAACGCTGGAGGGTTGACACACACTGCACATAACTGCTTGTCTATCTGTGCTAGAACTTTTCCAAAATGTATGAACCTTGTTTGCAATTCTAACATCATAAAATTCACATGAAATCCAGGAAACTCCGCTTTTGTGTTCGGTTGAAAAATATGTTGCGATCTACGGATGTATGTGACTCGTTTGTCAAAAAAAAATAATTAAATCCACCTTGTTTAATTTGGATAAGAATTCAGAAAGCATGGTCAACTCGTGGCAACTCAAATCTTCGCATAATTCCATCATATGACGATTATGATTCGCAATGCTCCTTCACAACGCACAATAACGCACAATGCAAATCATTAGACCATTCAACACTCGTGAACTTAAATGTACAGCACGTATCGATGATGCTGTCTACCTTTTTTTTTAACACAACTCTATTCATTATACAATACGTACCAATACATACCGCATCTGTGTACCTAAATACGTAGGCATAAATAAAAAATTATAAAATATAAAATAAACAAATATATATGTGACAAGCATTCCTGGTTGATGATAAAACAGTAAGATGGTGGTTTGATACACTGATAATAATACCCTATTCATACTGATCAATTTATTTTTACAGTGAGTTTGATGGGAAAGTGCAAGAAGCTACTGTATGTGCATATTGCGTACGTATTGAAAAAATTTTTGCCACTTCATGCAGCTCGGTATCACCTACGTATGTACTAACACCACCCACGTTTTCCAAATGGTCAACCTTTACTCTTTTAAAAAACAAGTTCTTTGTTCATGTAACCAACGAAATTTTTTGCCAACGTTTTTATCTTTTTAATTAATCGATTTTTTCTTCTTTTTCTTTAAAAAAAAAAAATCCCCCGCCTTTTCTTTGGTCCTACATTCCTTCTTTTTTTTTCTCTCTCTCGCCAGAATTCCTAATCTGGTATTATTAATCCATTGCGAGAAAAAATATTCGGACAAAGTTGTCACGAAAAACTCACTTGTTGTACTCTTTGAAAAACAAACATATATGTGTAAATCATCGTTTGATCAGTCTAAATACATATCGTATTCAGCATAAATTTATTATAAGATAACCTTCGAATTCAAATTATCTAGCCTGGGGTGTTATACCAAGGAAGAATTTCTATTTTTGGAGAAGGGTTTCCCATTTGCAAACAAATCGATAGGGAATTTCAACGATGGAAGAAGACGAAACGCAAAAACTCGTCAAGATAGTGAAGGAGTCCTTGATTGTTGATCCGAAAACCATTCGACTGGTTATGAAACGTATCCACGAGTTCCCGGTTGAAGTTATAGATGCGGCAAAGGATTATAAAGTGGAAAGGTTTGCTATTGTGGGAAAAGGAAAAGGGAGAGAGATACGGATACGAATGAAAGTTTTTAATTGACTTGCTGATGGTGCTACCATTAACCTAGGCTCGCAATCGAACAGAATCAATTGTCCACCATACCTGTCGAAATTCGTAATTTTACCCACCTCAGATATCTCAACATATCTCAAAATGCATTCAAGATATTTCCCGAGGAGGTAATTTTTTATTCATGGCGTTACGCTCTAAAATCGAATTCATCGAAATCTTCCAACAATATATCGACTTCTTCAAAAAGCTTTGTTCGGTGCCGAACTTGGAAATTCTTGACGTCAGTAAAAATAAGATACGAAAATTACCAAAGGACTTTGGAAATCTGATGTCATTAAAGGTTTGAGTTGATTGCACGATCAACCCTTTCTGGTCGATTAAATACCTGATTCAACTTCTGATAATACCAACGATTCGATTAACCTAATGATTAGATACTGCAACTCTCCAAAAATCAAATAAAGAAACTGCCCACCTATATCGGTGACATGAGGTATCTGCAATATTTGAAATTAGATTCCAATCCAATTCAATCCCCACCAAAATCTGTCCACTGTTTGCCAAAGGGTGATGAGAAGGAAGTGATGACCACGTGGTTAGAGAACTTGAAAACCTACTTGAAACAGCAAGCCGGTAGGTCAACATTATTTTGAAACGTGAGATCTTCTATTGTGTGTGACTAACATTATACGACTAGCCGGTAAAGAATCTATCGAGGAGGTTGAGGAAAGCGATAAGAGCAGGTCGGTTGCATCATTATGTTGTTGATACATTCGGTGTCACCTAAAATTTTGTTTCTTGATCATTCAGCGGAGAAGAAGGAAGAGAGAAGGAGCATAGTCCGGGTGTAAAGCCACTGAAAAAATTGAGTTCGGTGGAAAGCATGAATCATATGGTCACAAACGCGAATTCTCGAGTTACTCCCGAGACAACTTACTTGAACACCATCTCCGAGGATGAACATTTGGTCACCAAGCAGGAGGTAAAACGACAAAGTCCCAAATTAAGTTTGGACTTGGTGGCTTCTCGCCGCGACAGGAGCTACAGCAATGATTTTGACCCTACATTGAATAACCATCAGAAAGGATTTGTCAGACAACACTCTAAAAGTTTTTCCCAAGATTCAATAAATTCTCACTGTAGCCAGAACGTAATTCCCGAGGAAAAAAGCAGCGATTTCTATTTTCAAAAACTAAGAACACTCCCCCCCACCGAGCACCTTCCTACGTTTAACATATCGTTGAGAGAGGCTAGCCAAAACATATTGTACGCATTTTCCCAAGTTCACAAATCTCTACGGCAATTTGCGACATTTACGGGAAACGAGAGGATCTTTACAACCGATCTCAACAAAGCGAGCACCCTGATAGGACAATTGAGCGCTACACTCCAACGATTTGACACTTATGCATTACAAGTAGCGCCCGACACAGATCATTGGGCGAAACTGCTAACGGTCGTACAAGAGAACATTTCGTGCTTTAAAAGTCTGATGGAATTATTGCACAAGCGTCTCAAGTCATTGACCCAATATCCGGACAACATTCGATTTTCCCGCACGTTACTCTTGATGCTTCACGGAGCGGTGGCAGACATCAAGTTCGCGTGGGAACACATATACCCTTTACTGAACGATTACACTCCTTACACGGGAATGGCGGCTCCTTCCCGTGCACGGACGATGTCACGTTCCAATAGTAACAGTAACGCCAATGGAACTTTTTATTCTCCCAGCTTACCCAACGGCTCTTCATATTCGAACGGGGTGAGTACGCCCTCCACTGCCGGGATACCTCCATTCTCGGTAGGATCGTATAGCCCTTATGCGGACGTTTGTTTCCCGATTACCATGTTCGAGCAACTCCTGGCATTGGCGGAGAATTCCATTAAGGCGGTGGAAAACGTGATAAAACATCTCGGTGAACAGTTGGATAGTGAAGATTTTTATCGTTGTCCTTCGTCACCGGCAAAAAATAAGATGAAAGACCTAAGAGTACACGTGAATGGCGCGTCGGAGGTGACAAGGCGATTAAAGAAGCAAATGCTTCTTTCAAAATCATCCCAAGTTCAGAAAGAAGATCTGAGTATGCAGCATAAAATTTACAAGGATACCATTTCATTCATTCAGGTATATCGCGTCATTCGTTTCCCGATCGTGTCGATGGATTTAATTTACGAAACAAACTTGTGCATCTATTAACAATTTTTAGATAACGGTAAAGATGTCAACGATGGCCAAAGAACTCTCGCATGACTGGCAGTTAAACAGCAAAGTTATGACGGGATTGGGCCATGTAACAAAATGCATCATAGATCTGACAAATTTTTTACGTAAAATAGAAGGTCCAGTAGGGAACGCAACAATTCCCGGGCAACCGCCTTCAAGTTCAGATGTTGCAGAACAAAATGACGAGTACAATGAAGTAGACGAGGAATACGTGGATGGGGGATACAGTGAGCAAGGCTTTGATGAGAATGATCTCGGTGATAGTAATGGGAAGAGTGACAATGCGGAAGATAGCGAAGAGTACGAACCGGTGACATATGATGAGCCCGAGGAATATGAGGTTATTGGTGGATCGATACAAGGAGACGAGATGATTCAGAAAGGTGCGGTGGTTTTGACGTGAGAATGCCAAATGAGGTGGAATGTCGTCATTGGTATATAAATTATGTAAATTTATTTCATCATCTCTATCACAATACAAAACATCATTTACATTACCTTACAGCAAATTATGATCTTCCTATATAAACTAAAAACAAAAAAAAAAATAATGATAATAATAATCACATTCAAACTTAACGTTATCTATAGCATTTATTAAGTACTGTGCGCATGTTGAAATTTTTTTTTTTTTTTTTTTAAGCAGTGCATCTTGTAAACTATATTTTAATGAATTGTAATTTACTCGATCATCTAATGATTCGTGACACTACATGATTCTATGCAAATGAATAAACGACCAACTAACTAGTCTCTAAAGAATAACTTAAAAGTATGCGTCGAGACAATAAAAAAAAAATATATATATATATATATATCTTTTTCAATTTTCATAGCACCCGTTACACCAGATCAATTTTAGTATCGTGAATTGGATTTTTGGCAACAATAGGATGTGCAAACGTTTAGGTGTGTGGAGAATTTACCTATTCTGTTTATTAATGAAATACTAATTTGCAACAACAATAAATAATCTTAAACATGGTGTCTAATAGGACGCCAAATTCACATTTTTTAAGTGAAAAAGTATTATAATGAAAAAAAAAAAAAAAAATAACATCAGTTGAAAAAAAAAAGAAGAGTTTCAGCCGGTGCATCTTGCAGACTAGAAGATCGAGTGTCGAAGTATGGTATAAAAGTCCGGGCTCAATCAATCAACATTGATCGCAAGTGATATAAATGTGACGGCAGTTTGTGGTGGCAAAACGGGAGGGTGTACTAACAGAGTTTGCTAAACATATATGGCATTGACGTCATAATGCTTGAGTGCTTCGATAGCTTTGGGTTGGTTCTTTAGGGCCGCCAATCTTAGATATTGTAATCCCCTCTTTTCATCCTTGTCGACTCCGAGTCTTCCCTTCAAATACATGTCGGCCATGTTATATTGTGCAGTGGGATTTCCACTATCGGCGGCTTTAATCAAATACTTTATAAAATCTTTGACATTCTCCTTTGATATAGCAAATGCGTAACGAAACTGTGCATCAGCAACGCCGGCATCCGCTGCTTCTTTAAATAACGCCTTGGCCCTCTCTTGATCCCTGGGTTTATAATAGCCTTCCCACAAATAATACCCCATCCAATATTTGGCTTTTGGATCACCAAGATGCGTGTGAATTTCAAAACACTCCCATGCTTTCTCACGTTCATTATTCTTGTGCGCTGTAATACCTTCTTCGAGCGGAATTATGGGTTTCAAAGATGGTGGTAATGAGGTGAGATATAAATCATCTATATTCTCTTCGATAATGGTGACCTTCGATTTTTGCGGATTTTCGGTCCTTGTTACGAATTCAATTTCGGACGAATTCCTACCATGTTGATTAACTAACATAGTAAGGTCACTGAATAAATCTTTGATTACCGGGCGCAATTGAGGATCGTGGTTCCACGCTTTATAAAAAAAAGAGGAAGAATACAAAACCTGTTATTATCGTAACTAAATATATGAAAAAGATTTGTTCCAGCAAACAAACTCACATGCTACTATGATATTATTAAATCCGGTTACTATTTCCTGAGGTCCATCTGAAAAATTCAAGGTTTCTCTTTTCTTTGCTAGAACATGTTCGGTAATTTCCGGCATTTCCTTCTCTTTATACGGGAATCTTTCAAAGGCCAACTCCCAAAGAAGCATTCCGAAACTGTATTTTAATGGATTACGTTAGTATCATGCAATGAATCGTGAAAGATTTTTTTTCCGATTGTGTGTAAATTACCTGAATACCTCGCATTTAAACGTGTATGGCTCTTTTATCGGGTTATTTCCTCTCGGCATTTTTTCTGGAGCCAGCCAGCGAACTATGGTGGACAAATTTGGAATTCCATGACTCATCTGTGAGGTATCTCGACTCAAATAAAAATTGGCAATCTTTGCCTCATACTTATCCCCACCAGTAATCTAATTCCCATTGACGTGCGTACTCGGTTAATATAAAAGTGAAAGGAAAAAAATAGGACTAACGATTAACCCTACTCACCAAAATGTTTTCACACCTTATGTCATGGTGAAATATACCGCATGCTTGTAGGAACACCAGACCGTTGCATATTTCGTGTGCTATCTTGAGTTTTAAATGCCAATTCAACTTTTTTTCCTCATATACTTGCCTCAAATTCCCATGCTCCGCCCAATCTAACACAATGTTCTTATGACCATTTATTGTAGACACTCCATGGAATTTGATAATGTGATTTGACGAATACAATCTTCCTAAAATAGCCAATTGTCCTTTGATCCTTAAAGCATCTCTTGACGAATTATCTGGAATTATGACGGGTTTGCATGCAACGGGGACCACATCTCTTAACATTTGTTTGTAAATTTTTCCCCGTATAACCTTGGGGGAAGGATCCGACAATTCACTTGCTGGTATTTGCGGTGCATTTAATAATTCATCCTCATTATTATTCACAATCTTTTTCATCTTTTTATGCATCTCCGATATTTCTTCAAATACTAAATCAAGTTTTATTCTTTCCTGGTTCTCGAGCTGCCCAGCTGCTTCTAAAAACTAACGGAAATTTTTAATAAATATAATTTTCAAATGTAAATGAAGCGAACATTAATTTTTTTTTTTAAAAAAAACCCCCAACCTTTAACATTGCGCTAACATCATCTTCCAGATTTCGTTCCTCATTTTCACGGTCATCTTTAGAAATCACGACGTTAAATTGCAAATCTTTGCAACATTTTTCGAACTCCGTTATTAAAGACAGGCAACGTCTTTTAACATCATCAGCATGTGAGTATTTTCGGTATCCTTTAAGTTGTGAGATATCATTAAGAAAATCTTTAATATGCTGTAGTGTCTTATGGAAACGAATAAACGCGTTGAAGTATTCTTGATTCCTAAATTTCTTCTCATTCTCTTCCTTATGTCTGAACAGCTTCGTAACAGAAGGAGCGATTGCTTCCACACGTTCTACTAAAACCAAGCAAGTTCTTCTATTGTACTGAGCATTATCATAAATCGATGTGATTTCTTCAATCGTCTTTCTGACCGATTCACTCCATGGTTCAAAAGGCTTTGCAACTTCTTGCCCAAGTCTAAACATGTCAACATTAGTACTGGCGCTCATTACGCTTTCACTATGAGGTCTGTCCCTCCTTATGTTGGAACTAGAATCCTGTGGATGATCAAAATTTGGTGGAATATAAAATTGTTCATTATGCTGACTCGTTTGCGTGTTCCTAAATTCTTGTTCTTTCTGTTTCTTTCTCTTTACTTTAATACATAAAAAACCCATCTTGAAATTTTTAAAGATTCAAATTAGTTTTTTAAGTAGAATTTATAGGTTTTTTAAGGTTTCACCAGTATGTAACCGAAAATGAACTCGGAATATTTTGTGTTCAAAAATTCAGCATACTATCCGGACTTTAAGACCGAGGTGTACAAATAAAGCTTCACGATACACATTGCCCTTCCGAGTTTCCTTGTTAAAAGAAATCATGACCCGTCGATCATTCCAAAAAAGATAGGTCGCCCAACGGTCTACAGCTAAAAAAAGACGACGACAATTCCATTCTAACCAAGTATCTTTTTTTAATTAACAGTACTCGACTATTCTTAGAGGTCAAGTTTTGGTTACCACATGATGGACTGAAATTATATAAATCCGCGAATCCACAACGAATCTACAAAAAGGCGACATCTATATATTATTTACAATATGTGGCATTCTGTAGTCATACAGAAATTCGGTCCCCTGGATTGGGAAAATGAATTGCACAAACCCAATAATGGAACTTTTCTTCAGATCCAATCACAGGTAATAATTGATGTGCGTATGTGCGTACCGGTCCATTCCAGATTCCAGATTTCTTGCGAAGAGAATGTTTATAACATGCACTATCTACAATATAAAAAATGACAATTATTATGTTCAAAAATGGTTAAACGCTTTAAGAATACAAAAAAGTAAATTGATATCATAAATTTACGATATTTTACATACAAAACCCAAAATAAATTTAGTAACTAATTGATTTTAAACAAAAAAAAAAAAATTTAGTAAAAAGATTTTTTTTTTTTTTATCCATTGAGTAAAATTTGGTTATTAACAGGCATTTATTATTTTATATAACAAGTAATTGAAAGATTATAATTCATCAATTCTTAATAATATCTTGAATTATTATTAAAAATACTGGAACTGTTAAAATATGTTTACAGGTTTATTAAACATTAATATTTAAAATTTAAAATTTAAAATAAATTAATGTAATTAATTTTTTGATTTTAGAATTAAATACATGATATATAATTTGAATCAATATTTTTTATATTTATTAAAATTTAATAAATAATTATTTAATCTTAAATTAATTTTTTTATAAGTCAGACAATTATATTTATTAGTGATAATAAAGTAATATACTGTATAAAATATATTAAAATTATTAAAACTATTAAAATATTATTAAACTTTTTAAAATTAAACAATTTGCTAAATTGTATTTTGCTATTTCAAATCAAAAAAGCTTAATTTAAAATTACTTTTAAACTAGTATTAGAAAATTAATATTATTAAACTTTTTAAATTAAACAATTTACTAAATTGTAAAATCTAAATTCTTTCTATTATTAACCATTAATTAAGAATCAATATCAAAAAAAAAAAAATTTAATATCTATAAATTATTTATTAAAATATTTTATCCAAGTCAGTAAAGGAGTGAAATAGTTTTTCGACAATAAGTGAGTTAGTATATGAAAGTCAAAAATATCTTGTAAATATCTTTATATATACTGTATACAATAAAGACAAGTTATATTAATCTGACTGCAGTTAAATAAAAAAAAATTATTTATTAAAATATTATATTTTTTTATTTTAAAAAAAAGAGAAAATAATTTTTTATATATTTTTTTTTTTTTTAAAACAAGAGAAAAATAATTTCAAAATTCAATTTTATTAATATTATCTTATTTAAAAATTGATTTAGAAAACTATTTATTTAAAGATTTAATAAAATCTATAGTTATAAAAGTATCTTAAAATCTATAAAATAATTGATAATTCAATTCTAAAAGTAATATTAGCTTTAAATATAAACTTTTTATTTAAAAAAATACAATTCTTTTAAAACAAATTAAGTTTTTTAGAAAATCTTCTATTTAATTATAGTTTTAACTAATACTTTTACTATAAGTAAAAATAATAAATATTATTAATTATTTTAATAGCTATACTAGAAAATAAATCATATTAAAAGTCTTAATAAAAATTTTTAGTTTATATTTTTTTTACAAATTATCAATTATAAATAAAAAATTTATTAGTTAAGAAAAATTTTTTATTTAACTTATCTGATTTTATAAAAATAAAAATAAATTTTTATTTATCTATAAAAACTATAAAAATCTACTTAACTATTAAGAGTAAATAACTTTAATATTAAAAATAATTGAAATATTTTTTTTTTTTTTTTTTTAACCCGCTGTCAGGCTAGTTATGTGCGCTTTATTAAACAAAAGTAAACTATACATAC